GATTGGGGCACCCTGAAATCCTTCAACCCGGTCTTGTTTTCTCGAAGCTGCTGAGGGGAGTTTCAGGGACAGGGCCGCACCTTCGGGGCCCGGCAAGATGCATTGATTGGGTGGATTTTGGGGGTTTAGGGTCCAGCCTAAGCTTCAAACCCCAGTGGGCTTGGATTGGGCAGCTTGGAGCATTTTGGGCCGTTTTATTACTTGGTTCAGTTACAGTTCAGTTTTGCGTTGAAGCTTTCTGCTTATGGGCTTGTTTCTTAATTACATGGGTATGCGTCACCACCATGGTGGTGTTTTCATACTCCCACCCCCGTGTTGTTCAACGTTGGCTTCCTTGCGGTTTGTTGACAGACTTCGTGCCGAATCATACTCCCCAGACTCCGTGCCTGTCAAAAAAGGTGTTTTGTTCTTTGAGCAGTCTTGGGGGCTAGGGTTGTGTGGCGGAGCTGGTGGGTTCCAGGATTCAACACGCAGGAAAACTCATTCGAATCTTCCCGAGAAGCCCCCAAAGCCGCAAGAGGCTCTAGGAGAGGGCCACTGCCACACTTTCTGCCAAAATCCGAAGAAAAAGGGCCGCCTGATCACCTCCCGAAGGCCTAAACCCGCAAAGGCGGTCCTGGTGGCGGCCAAATGGCCCATCAACTGGCGGCACTTCTCAGGCCCTTCGTGGAGTTTAAGGCTCAACGGTTCTATGGGCTTAGGGGCTGGGTAGGTTATATATAAAAAAAATGCACATGCAGAAAACGTCGCACTGCAGGCCCGAGTTTTACGTACGTCAATGTTTGAAGCTAAAACTATAAAACGCAACCTTACGAGAACAACCCTTCACATGCATCTACTACCCAAATGTAAGGAGTAGGCATATTTTTAAATCATGCTTAGCTTCAGAGATTGCAGAGATTGCGTAAGCAGTCAGAGTACGTGTCTCTGCGTGGGGGGTGGGGGCAAAAAAGAAACTCTGTGGGGGGGGAGGGGGGAGAAAATTACTCCAGAACTCTCTATGTATATATATATATACATATGTGTGTATGTATAATCCCGCTGCAACTAATGAAAAGATCTGGCCCCAGGCTTTCGAGGCCTCGTCCAGGTCCGGGAAGTTTCAGGGCTTTTTGTGAGGGTCACGGGGATTCCCTGTCCAGACGATTCTCTGGACTTGGGTCGAGGTGGCCGAGTTCGTATAGGGCTTTCGGGCTCAGGGTTTCAGGTCTTCAAGGGCTTCTGATGGCTATGTAGCTCCGGCCCAAGAGCTTGAGGTTTGCAAGACTAGCTAGCTGCGATTGTCGGAGCGCTCTTTGGCGCTGTTCCGCGGCTTCATGAGGTCGTGGCGTGCCTTGATCCTCGCCGCGCTGGCGGCCGCTCTGGCGGGCCATCTCCAGGGATGCGGCGACGCAGAGCCAACAGACGACCATGATACCCATGCTGGCCCGTGTGATCATAACGGGCATAGCCACTGCGATGACGAGCACGACCATGGTGGGGCCGCCGAGAACCACACCGATGATCATGATGATCATGACCACGACAACCACACGGACGATGACAACCACACGGACAACCACACGGACTGAGGCCAACAACTGGTCAGGGGGATCATGTGAGCTTCCATGCAGAGTTCGGGTACAGTATGTCAAAGCCAGAGGGTTGTGCGATGTTCTACATTCCACACTGTGGTCAGGATGTACGCCTCTGCATGCCAAACAGTCTCTTGTGGCCTCCATGTCGAAGGATTCGGGGATTTTGAATTTTTGATGGGAGTGGAGTGCTGAAAGACGCCTCCATACGGGCTGAGCGAGATCGTCCCCCCCTCCGCTTCGGCCCACCCATAGATAGCCGGACGGCAGAATGTGAGCAGAGGCCTTCAGGGTTTCGGGTGTGCAGCTTGCTTAGCAGGGGAGAAGCTTGAAGAGAGCTCCCGACTCTTGAACCCCAACGAAGCATAGGGAGCAGAATAGAGGGAAGTCCTGGTTCTTTCCATTCCAAGGGTGCTCATGCCGTCCGACAGCAGAGGGGTGACATTATCCACAACGCTGCACCACGACCACTTCAGCGACGTTGAATGGGGACCCCTTGCGTCTAATTTAGCAATGTAGTACAAGCTAGATGTTAAGGGGGTAGGTTGTTGAGTTGGACCCAAGCTAGTGCTTTTAGCTTGCTGGATGCAGGCGCAGAGTTGTTTTTTTGGATTTCGGTGTTTGGGGCTTACGGCAGGTTTCGTGTCTCCTACATCTGAAACGATGAGGTCTTGGGATCCCCAAGAAGCTTGAGGCCTGGAGGTGCGGCAACTTCTTCGCGCCGCATGAAAAACAAAACCTTAAACCTTGAACCTTCATAATAATAATACATGTAATCATTTTTTTATTAAGAGTATGGTTATGATTATTATTATCATTATTGTTGTCATTATTATTGTTGTTATTATTACCAATACTACTATTACTATGATTATTACGACTATTTTATGATTGTATTTATTATGATTATGATTATGATTATTATTATTATTAAGATTTGTTTCTTAGGCCTAGTTGGACCCATGCCAACAAGCTGGGACCTGACGTTGCTGCGCGAAGAAGCTGTTATTTCACATCCTGACCTCCCACCGAATTCTGGCGAAGCCCACGAAAAGTGACCGCGCCATGGGGCTTAGGTGTGTTAGCCTGTGTGTGTGATCAAACACCGTTGCAACAAGTACCCGTGGACCTTCAGAGTTCAGGGCCCCCTTGGGACAGGCTTAGGTCCTGGGATTCAGGATGCAGTGGGCCTTCTGTCTATTGGGCCCGACGCCTTGCGCCCCAAACCCACAAGTCAAAGCCAAGAACCTCCCAGAGCCCCCGGCACATGATGGAGGTTCCCAGTTTAGATGACATCCCGGAGTTATGGAACGAAGGCCGCAACGCTTTATGTCCCTCTTGGGAAGTAGGTGCCATCATGGCCCGAAGTTAGGAGGTCGTTTTGAGGAAGGCGCACACGACATCCCTAAGCAACATGCCTGGAGGTTAGCACCCTGCATAATTTTGCCCGTGGGGGCACGGGAATTGTAGCGCCTCACTTTAGCACTTATATGGCGTACGTTGTTCATGTTGACAGCTGGCACAAGGTGGTCGTCCACGTTGAGCTCTAAGTGTCCTTATGCCCGTGAGCCCACATCTGGCAAAAACCCAGACCCGAAAGCTTGAAATTCAAATGCCCAGAGCCATGTTCAGTCGTCCCGAAACTTCTCGGAAACCCGAAAAAGACATTATTTCTTGTCTCCAGGGTCCTCTTGAACCGCATGGCGACATCTTGGAGCTCTTGGGCGCAAGAAGGCAGCCTGAAGAAAAAAGGCGACGGCTCGGCTGTATGCTCGGAGGGCCTATGCAACTCTAAGCCCCAACCCAAACCCTGAACTGAATAGTCGTTAATTCAACTTCTGTTGTCCACTTTCTGCGGCACCGACGTAAGATGTCCTGCTTTCGAGCTGGTAACTAAGCCCGCCGACTCCCCGTCAAAACACCTAAGCCCTGGCTGCAGATGTAAGCAGAAGCCGAAACATGGGCAGCCTGCCCATACGATATTCCCATACATATATCCACTATATTTAAGAACAATACACCTCGTAGCAATACTCTGAGTCTGTTGCCTGCACCCTCCATTTTTGGTGGGAGCAGTGGAGCTGTTAGAAAACTGGAAGTGGGGCCGTGACCGTGGAGGGGACCGAGGGGGGGACCGAGGGGGGGAGCCGCGGGGGTGTGGGCCTAGAAACCATAAACCCAGCCCCGACACACACTAGGCTTTTGGGGTAGAGGTACCCTTGTAGTAGGCATTCGCGGGCTGGGCTCTAGGGTTCAGCGGCCCTCAGGATACTGGGTTTAGGTTTGTTAGGGTAGGGTTTGTCGCAGAGTTCGAAGGGGCTTTGCGGCAAGGAGCGATCAAGTCTTTTGCTGCGGCTCATTTGTGGATGGCCGTACCCTATCCGTCGCCCTAAATTTTCTGGAGACATCAGGCTCCTCGGTGTTACAAAGAAAGCAAATACTGGCCGCCGCCTGGACACTTTTGCTCAAAGCCACCTTTGGCACGCCTAGTAAAGCATGTCAGTCTGCTTGTGTACAAAGAGTTTCTTCTCGAGGACAAAAACCTGTACAATTCTGGACATAGACTCCAGACTCCTAGACCTCCGGAATCCCACATCCTGGGCCAACCCTGAACTCGACCAACGCCTAAAACCACTGCACTCAGAAGCGCTTTCGAGAGGCCATGCTTCTCCCCTGCAATTCCAGTCCTTCACGAAAGAGCCTCGAAGCTCCCAAGTTCCAACCCTAAACCCTAAACCCTAAACCCTAAACCCTAAACCCTAAACCCTAAGACCCTAAACCCTAAGACCCTAAGACCCTAAACCCTAAATAACCCGAAACCCGCATCCCATGAAGGCCTCCGCCCTGCATCCCCCCATAAGCCGGATGGCATGGCGGATGTGCTGAAGGGCATCGGGGCGGCTCCCTGATCCCAAGTGACTAATTGCCTAAGAACCCCGAACAAAAACACAAATATTCTTCCTTATTGAGGGCAACATAGGGGTTATTATGATTTAATTCTTTTGGGGTTCTTAAACAAATAGTAGTAACTTGGGTTAACCCACATGGCCCCTGCAGCGCCCCGAACCTTAAGGCCGCCGAAAAGTCTGCAGCCTTCATAAGATTTAGAGGGTTTTGGGCGGTAGACACTGAACCTACAACTTCAACCCTTTGAGCTCTAAGGGCTTGGGGTAGGATCGGCCTAAAGGGGTTGGCAGCATGAAGGACGCAAGGGGTGGAGGGGGTGGAAAGTTGTTTTGTAACCGAAGCCCCTGGCATCCGAGCCCTGAAGCGAGTGCAACGCTGTTCATGAACCCACGCAAGTCCTGAGCACTCTGACTCGACCGCTCTCCTCCTCCAACTTAGTAGCTGAATGAGTGTGCTTTAGACTTTTTTTGGATAATATATTCCGCTTTTGGAAGTGAAAGTGTGCGCTTTTTGGGGCTTATGAACTCAGCGGAACACGAGGTGGTCTCGACCCAAATCCTCTCCAGAGCCGTAACGCCGGAGTCTCGGCAGCTTTTGGGCTCCGAGAGGGATCGAGGCCTCGACAGCCCCCAAGGTGACGCATACTAGAGGTGCCTGGAAAAAATGACATGGGGTTTTGGGGACTATTTTTATAGTATAATAGTATAAAGGGACCAGAAGGGAATACCAAGGGTTGTTTGAGTATAATGATACAGGGACCATAAGGGAATATTAAATTGGAGTAATTATTCCGACCCCTATAGTACACTGGCATCGGCAGGTGCGGGTGGGTCAGGTCTTGAGGGTGGCGTCGGGACCGGACTGGGCTTGACGGTTTCGGGTTTTCAGGCTTGGACCTTGAGTTTCGGGTTTTTCGGATTTCAGCTGAAGCCGCCCAAACCATGGGGGTAATTTGCCTGTTTCTGAAGTAGAACCGACAAGCCAACCGGCCCAGGACCGTGCCCACCCGGAAAAAGGCCTCAGGAACTGTGCACCCGTCGCCATATTTCGCCGAGCCTTAGAGGTGTAGGTATGCCCTACGCTCGCCCACACCCAGATTCGTCCTCAATGTGCTCGTGGCCCGGTTGGCTTCACCGGAAGCGTACGGGGTCGGCTATGTCTCGCTACAGCAGCGGCCTCAGGCCGTGTTCGGGGTTGTGGGTTCATCGAAGTCCAAACCCCTCCATAATTTGCTTTCGGCAACTTAAGACCCTCGGCTTCTGAAGCCCTTCTTGAAAAACCTGAGGGAGGACAAGTGGTCGTGGAGTGACCCTGAATGGAGCTTTTATTTTGCAGTTGTAGCTATCCAAATTATCACCACAGTTCCAGGCCTTCACACGGAGGGTTGAGGGACGCCCCAGCCGCGGCCAGGGCCTCCACCAAATCCAAGAGAGCCTTACATTTCGGATTGAGGGCAACAGCGTCTAGGGCCTTCAGGGGCTTTCCAACTCTATCTGGGTCAAGTTGGGTTTGAAGCATCGAACAGACCCCCGGGGCATTTCCCGAGCTGTAGGCTTTGGGTTCTTGAATCCCCAATGCCCCAAAAGTTCCATCATTGCACAAGTATTGCACAATTACAGCTACACTATTACATTTTTCGTCTATGGGAGTGTATCATGCTGTATGATACTGTATGATTGTATATTGCAATGCTCTATGAGCGCGTTCTCAGGCTCCTCAGCAACCTCATCCTCTTCGCCGCCAAGGAGGGCTTCCGAAAAGTCGCGCCGGGGATGCCCAGCGACGCCCTCCTTGATAAGCTTCTGTTCCGTATTGCGAAAAGCCCAAAGCTCCAAGCCCCAAAGCAACGTCAGACCGATCCCCCCCCCCCCCCCCCAAATCCAAAGCCTCAACTCAGAACGTCAAACCTTGAGTGATTTGAACAGCAGATCGTCGACTGGGTTCCTCTTCAGGGACTTAAGCAGCATCGTATCCGTATTGTGGTAACCATGTTCTTCGACAGCAACAGTAAAGCACCGAGAAGTCGTACTTGCGATTATTTGACCAACGTAGCTGTGAGTGCTTCTGGTAAAACGCGCAGTTTATCCAGTGAATCCTGAGCCGAACGGCAAAACAAAGGATAGACTTGGCGCCAAACCAGACGCGATTCACAAATCCTGGAGGTTTGGGAGGACCAAGAGCAAACCAAGCAACCCCCCCCCCCCCCCCTCCCCCCAATGCCCGACAGTCCTAAAACCCGGAAACACTGGACTTGAGATGTTCCCCCTTAGACGAACAGTCCTTCCTAGGGATTAGAGCACGGAACATGCCAACCTGCAGAGGCTGCGGGCAGCCCCCCAGGGCGCAGAGGAGCCCGCTGGGCGCTGAGCTTCCAACCCTAAACCCTACACCCTACAAACCCTAGGCCCTAAACCGTAAACGTGGTCTACTTGAAGTCCTGGTGGTTGCGTAGGCTACGAGGGTTTAGAGTCTTTAGGGTAGTTAGGGTTATATTGGCAAATAAGTGGGTGCAAAAGCGGAGGAAGACAATAGAAATAAAATTGCACTTGGCTTAAGACTCCTGGTGTTTAAGATGCATCTTTCCTACCCATAACCATTCAAGTCGGCCCTCGAACAACCTCTTGTGCTTAGGGGTTTCGGGTTAAAGGTTTAGGCTCTCGGAACGCTTTAAACCCCAAGACCTCTAAAGTAGAGGCTTTACTTTTGTGGGTTGCTGGGCTTCTGTGTTGCCTACTAACACAGGTGTGTAGCACGACTTAAGATCACTTGAAGGTTCATGTGTCGTTAGAAGTAGTTAGCCGTACCTTGTTACTTATACCTAGAATCTAATCCTTGCAAGTAACCCACGGGCATGCAGGAGGGAACAGGGGGGGCTCGGGACTTTTAGGGATTATTTGGAGCCTGTGCAATCTCTGGAATGCCTACTTTTGGTCCTGCTCACGTGAGTCCAAAGTTGGCCGACCACTTTCCGCGCCTAAACCCCACATTCCCCTCTCCCAATCTGAGCCCTAAACCCTACAGCCCTCTAAGCCGTGAACCCAAGGACGAGGCCCTCCAGTCACAGTCTTCCGCCAACTTGGGTTGGTGTGGCTTCGCCTCTGGCGCTGCCGGATTCCGAGACTTTTTGAGGGCTTCGGACCTTTTGAAGAGCATGAAGACCTCAGGGGGTTGAAAGGCATAGGGCGCAGGGTGTTCTGGGGGCTTGGGGTGCAAGAGGCCATTATTGTGCTGGGGTGTTCGGCTTCGCGGTTTTTTTGAGAGGTATGCGCGCATGCGGGAAACCATGTAAGTCCCACGAGGGAGTCTCGACCGCGTGAGCTGAGAGCCAAAAGAAACCTTTCGAAGATTCCGGGAGGGAGGATTCCGTGGGCTGAAGGGTTTCAAGGGCCCTGGCAGCACAGCTCACATATCAGCTCACTTCACCGAGCAGAGGCTACATCATTTGGGCCCCAAGTCCCGATCTGAAACCTGCCTGATGCTGTTACCAGGCCGTGACTGGACCCTCAGCCAGCACCTCCGAATGCCTTTTGAAGGCCCCGGACCTCCGAAGGCCTTTTGAGCCTCTGGAACATAGGAGTACAGCTGCCCTAACAGGAGCCTTGCGCATGGGTACCCGTGAACCTTCAAGAGCTTCCCCGAGCCATGCAGTCGCAGCCGTCTTATGTCTTATGGGCTACTTCCCAACAACCAGACAATGCCCCCAACCCAACGATGCCCCCAATCACCCTTACACGGGTGCGGGCTCTCAGGTGGCCGCGGGTCCGCTGGCGTTCTACTGGCTGCGCTCGGCGCCGGCCTCTGCCCGGAGCCCCGGTTGCGCGCGCGCCTCCGGGAAAGGGGGGAGGGGCTGTAAGGGCTTGCGATCTTCGGGCTCATGCGTTGGAGGCTTCTGTTCTTCAGAGTTTTTGTCGCTTCTATACTAGTTCATGGTTTAGTTCCCAAGGAAGTTGAAGGTTTGGACAGGGCGCGCCTGGGGCTGCGGAGGCCTCTCTGGGAACAGCTGGCCTGGCTAAAGTTTAGATTAAGATATTAGGGTGTGGGTATCGGACTTAGGAGACACGTGTTGCCGCAAGCACACTAAAAGCAGGCCCTGTACAACCCAATTAAAACGATAAATTCTTGATAAATCTAAATAAATAAGTATATATATATATATATATATCTATATGTATATACAAATGCTTCAGCTCTTTTTGGGGCCTCGGGTGGACACGATAGCAGCGGTCTCTCCAGTAGTGGTCTAGCGCCTGCGAATGTGTCGAAGACCGCAGCCCGGATGCCTAAACTCCAAGAACCTTCCTAAGCTCAACCGTTTTCCCCGAACCCTTCGTAATTACGGGGCTGCCCCTGTGCCCCCGAGGCCTCCTGGAGCTATCAGGGTGCCGTTCTCCTGACCGCCGTTGCTTCAGTGCTCGAGGCGCGGGAAGCTGGGTGTGCCCCGGTTGATGGGAAGATGGGTTTGGGGACTGCAAGCCCCCGTGCCAGACGAAGCCTCCCAGACCGAGGTAAGCGCTGTAGCCGTATGAGAGAGAGCGCACCAACCCCTAAATCCTTGTCAACCCAACACCCGCTCGAAACCCTTAAGGTCCGAACATCCCCCTCCCCCCATCCTACCCCCCTCAACCCAGACCCGAAGCCTCCAACCTTCCCGAGGGGGTCGCCGAGCCCTTCGTGATTCGAGCCCTGGCCCAGCCCTCAACGCCTCGTTGGGACCCAGGGACCCAGGTTTGTCCCCTCTGTTCTAACTGGGGGGGGGGGGGTCCCTTTTTTTGCAGGGGGGGCGGGGGTCCGTGTTGAAGCGGCGCAATTCTTCGAAGGCCTTGCCTTGAACAACTTTGCAACCTGCTAGTGCTTGCTTATAGCGCGCATGTGCCACTGAAGTGCATGCGGGGCTATTTTGGGCCTTTCACCGAAACCTTAACGGCCTAGGAGAAGTCTTCTCAGCTTGGCAAGCGCCAATCCGCTCCGCGTGCAAAGCCTAGCAGCGTTCGGAACTAAACCCGAAACACGAAAAGCCCTAAACCCCAAACTCCTAAACTCTGAAGACCACAGCCCAAAGTCTCAGCTATTACATGTTCTCCCTCACACCCCAATCTGCGAGCCCACAACTGCCAATCGCCAATGGATCCAAACCTTGAGCCCTCATCACAGGTTTGGTAGCTTCCAGAACGAACCCCGATTGCTTTTTATATCAGGGACTCCTCGCCTTCAACTGCACTTCTTCCGTCCTGGCTCAAGACAGGCTCGAAGTTGTCATCTTAGACGCTGGCCTTTACTGGTGGTTAGCGTTTGAGGCTTGTAGGGTTTCGGTAGGGAGGACTTTCACAGTTGCCGGCCCGCGACAGATTAAAAGCTTATTCGGGGTTTCGTAGCCACTGCGGGTTTCTGACAGCATGACGCCGTATGCCTACAACTTGGGTGGCCGGGGCCTCGGTGTGATCCTACGCCAAATGTCGGTCGACATGAACCTCTGCTTCTGACATCAGCCCCCCTTAGATTTCAGGCCCTCAGATCCTAGCAAACTCTAATAGGTCCAGTGCCGCATTGAGCACTTGGGTAGAGGAGGGGTTCAGACCGCCCAAGCCCAAGCCGAAGCCCAACATGTAAGCCCTGTAGATCCGAATCCCCAGCGCTTAACCTCAACCCCAAACCCTGAAAACCCCACGCCCTTAGCCATTTTGAAATACGCTGAAGGCTCGGCCATTGCGAGCCTCCTTGCTTCTCAGGTGCCGGTGCCGCGAAAGCACCGGTCGTCTTCTCCAGCGCAGGCTTGGGGGAAGGGGCCCGAACGCCTAAATCCATCTAGATCCTACACCTTCTAAGCCCTAGGCCTCGGAATCTGAAGATCTGAGCACGGAACCTTGACCATCAAGCAGCCAGGACGTCCTCGAAACCTCAATGCCAAAATCTAATTCCGAAAATCCCAAAAGCCTGGTTTGGCCCAACCCATGTTGAGGTGGCGTTACTGCCTCTGTTTCCTCTGCCATTCCAGGCGGGGGGAGGGGGGGAGAGTCTTTCGAGCGAGTAGTATTTCAGTAAGTTTTGCAAAGACCCCCGAACGGGATGAGGGTGTGGGGTTCAGGATGGGATGCCCCAAGCGCCTCATCCTCAAGCCCTGAAGCCCGCATGAATTTCCCAAAAACAAGCACCAGCAATCCTACAAGCCTTATACTCGGGCTTGCACCTTGCGGGGCGCACTCGCTCCCGTGCATCGAAGTGGGAGCTAAGTGCCGCGGAGCAAATTCCTCGTCTGCGTGGTGTCTGCAGCATACTGTATGTTGCGGACTGAAGTGCTTATGGACCGTGGCATCTGACTTTGATTGCAAGGTTGCACGGTCGACGTCTAGTAGCGTTCCCCGCCGCCATATGCAGAATCTAAGACTTTCAGAGCGGGGGGAGGCTGGGGGAATGGGGGGACTGGGCGATTGTTTCGGGTCGCACGATATATATATATATATATATATATATCTCTGTGTGTGTGTGTGTGTGTGTGTGTGTGTGTGTGTGTGTGTGTGTGTGTGTGTGTGTGTGTGTGTGTGTGTGTGTGTGTGTGTGTGTGTGTGTGTGTGTGTGTGTGCGTGCGCGTGTGTGTGTGTGTGTGTGTGTGTGTGTGTGTGTGTGTGTGTGTGGTGTGTGTGTGTGTGTGTGTGGTGTGTGTGTGTGTGTGTGTGTGTGTGTGTGTGTGTGTGTGGTGTGTGTGGTGTGTGTGGTGTGTGTGGTGTGTGTGGTGTGTGGTGTGTGTGGTGTGTGTGGTGTGTGTGGTGTGTGTGGTGTGTGTGGTGAGTGTGGTGTGTGTGGTGGTGTGTGGTGTGTGTGGTGTGTGGTGTGTGTGTGTGTGTGTGGGCGTGTGTGTGTGTGTGTGTGTGTGTGTGTGTGTGTGTGTGTGTGTGTGTGTGTGTGTGTGTGTGTGTGTGTGTGTGTGTGTGTGTGTGTGTGTGTGTGTGTGTGTGTGTGTGTGTGTGTGTGTGTGTGTGTGTGTGTGTGTGTGTGTGTGTGTGTGTGTGTGTGTGTGTGTGTGTGTGTGTGTGTGTGTGTGTGTGTGTGTGTGTGTGTGTGTGTGTGTGTGTGTGTGTGTGTGTGTGTGCGTGCGTGCCTGTGTGTGTGTGTGTGTCTCGATCGGGGCTCGATCGAAAATCGGTCAGAGGCGTCGCCACCTCGCCAACGTCTTCCGGCTACGTCTACACGACCAGCCGTGTTGTCTCTCCGACAGCCTCGGGCTACACCTATGCAGGCGAGGCGGTGTTTGTTTTAGGCTCTGCTCTGTTAGCTTCAGGGCTTCTACAGTACGGCCAGAAGGAAAACTCGGCATCTTTCGCTTAAGGTTGTAGGGGGTTTTGGGGTGCGTTGTGTGTGGCAGCTGTAACAACTTTTCTAGATGGTCTTGGGTTCATGGATGTGGGCTTTGGGGTGTAGATTGGGGACTTGAGTCGAGTCAAAAGCCAGCACCTCTCAACCCCAAGTCTTACGCCCCAAGCCCTTACCTGAAGCATGCCCAACTCCTCTTCTCATAGGGGCTTTAGGAATTGGGTGCAGGAGTTGCATTGAGAGACCAGATTCGGGTTTAGGGTTTCAGACACTTTGGACAAAGTAGAGGTTTTAGGATATCGAATTCTTTGCGTGCAGGCGACGGCATCCGGACCGCGGTGGTCACTTCGCGCTCCGGCCCCAGCTCCTCTGCCGTCGCGTTGGGGATTGAGTTGGCAGTGTGGTTCAGAGGTTCCCCAGAATCCTGAAGCCCTATACCGCCTGCTCAAAAAGCACCCGCCAAGACGCACGCTTGAGGCACTTTTTGAGGGGATGCCTCTGAACCATAGCGCACGCAGGGCCCTCCTCGCGGAAATGTCACCTCTAGGCCCTCTAGGCTTGCCTTGCTTCCTCGCAAAACATGCGGGAAAGAGAAAGAGAGGGCTGGGTGGCTGCACAGACTCCATGGCCCCAGACTGGACCCCTTAGGGGCAAACCTGCAGCCCGCACGACCCAAACAGCTGCCGAACCTGGAGGTGTTGTGACTTCTCCAGTCGCAGCTGCTTACATAGGCCCGGGGCTCGGAGTAGCCTGAAACCTCGCAGCCACTCCCCAAATCCCCGAATCCTCCCCCCCCCCCAGTCCTGGAGCCCTTCCCCCCTCCCCTTTGTTGATTCCTTTGGCAGTTGGGCTTGTGCTCTGGGATGTTGCAGGTTCCCCGGCTTCGCGTTACGCTGGGGATCACTGGCTTTTTTGCGGGTGGTAGGTCTCTTCGATACAAACCCACCCACACACACACACGTATATATATATATATATATATATGTATATGTATGTGTATACATATAGATTGTTATTGTATTGTATTGTATTATATTATAGTATATTTTTTATATTACATTATATTATATTAAACTATATTATATTATATTATATTGTATTATATTGTATTATATGATATGATATGATATGATATTATATTATATTATATTATATTCTGTTATATTATATTATACTATCTTATATTATATTATATTATACTATATTATATTATATTATATGATATTATATGAGAAAAAATATTATATATAGACGTTGGGGCAAGGTGCCATGAAAGCACCGGTGGCGTTCTCCAGCGGAGGCGCCGTCTTCGCGGCTTTTGTGCAGGGACCTAGACACCAGATTGAGCTAACAGGGGGCTACCCAGGTTTGCACTTTCCGCACCTCTGCCCCATCAACATGTCAAAACAGGGGTAGTTGGCACTTGAATCTGAGAGAGGGCTATATGCATCAGCATTGCTCAATTGCCAATTGCAAGTTAAATGCCCATGACCTTCAAGTAGCAAAATCCCATCGAGAGAACTCCTTCAGGGCCTGAGCTTTGGGACTCTGGGAGATTTCGGGGTTGGAGGGTATGTGGTTGGGCTCTGCTTGTTTCGGGGGTCCGCAGGCCCCTTTGAAAGGACTTTCGGACATTTTCGGACTTGAGGCTCATGTCGGCCGCCCTGAAGGTGGCATCGCAACGCCGGTAGCAACAACCTATCCAGGCACGGCTTTGCCACTAAGGGGACATCCCGCACCCCCAAAACCCCTACTCCTCGACCCCTAGACCCTAGACCCGGCTTCAGCGTTGGAGCGCGTCGGTCGACTTCGGGTTTTTGGGGTTTAGGGTTTAGGGTTGCTGGTTCGGTTGCCACTACCACTCTCTAGTTGGGGAATAGCCTTTAACCCCTCAACCCTGACCCCTCTTCAAAGCGTGGCAACAAGCCCCAAGCTGGTACCTGGGAGGCGTCGCCACCTCGCCGATGGCCTCGGCCTATGCCTACGCAGGCGCGGCTCTTTCTGGGGGTCGGGTTCGGTCTTTGCGGGCTTTGGGGGTCCGCAAGTTTGGTGTTTTTGTTGTTGGATGGGGGTTGGGGGTTTGCTATGTTTTTTTTTTGCAGGGGTGGGGGGGGGGGTTGGGTTGAGTCCTTTGGATGTTTTTGTTTTGTTTTTTCGGGTAGTGGGTTGGGCTCTGAAGTCTTATTGTAGGGCTTTGTTTTGGGATTTGGGGCTTCGCAGAGTTGTTTTATGGTTTACTGCTTTGGGCGTTTAGGGTTATTGGGCTGTATACGTTTTGAGTCTTCAAGGCAGTTCAGGGTCCCAGGTGCCGCCGCCGGGGGTTGGGAGGATCTCAGGGGCTTGAGGGTCGATCCTCCGAAACTCTTCATCCCAGGGACACT